CATCTAAACCGCAGAATATTCTTGAAGAATTTATTCAAATAACTGATATTTATAAAACGATATTCATAAATGATTAACTATGTTTGTGTGTTGTGTATTGTAAGAAAATTTTTGACTAAAAACATATCAAATATGTGAGAAAAAAAAAATGATTTTTCCATCAAAAAAAAAAACAACAGAAACAAAGCTGACAAATGAAGATAAATGTTTGTGGTAAAAGAAATTTTAAAATTTAATGTGACAAGACACACACACACACACACAGAGAGAGAGAATCGAAAAAGAAGAAAACCAAATTCTTGTTACATTTATTCAACCGTTTTTTGTTTTTTGTTTTTTTTTTTGATTTATTCACAACAATTTTTTTTGTTGAATTTGGCAATTTTGATGTTTATCTTCCATTCCTTCAATGTTTTGTTGTTTGACAGTAATGAATAATCAAATTAATTTGAAATTGATTTCAATCAATCAATCAATCAATCATGCTGATTAATTTGAATTTTGTGTTTTTTTTTTGTTTTGTTTTGCATTTCAACTTACAATTTAAAATCAATTATCATCAAATTGATTGGATGGCAACTGATGAAGAGAAAGAGATAACAGGATGAGAAAAACAAAAAACAGAAAAAAAAACAGAAAACTGGATAACCGGGAACACAAAAAACCAAACCAAAACTATAACATCAAAGGAAAGAAGAAAAGAATAAGCTAATTAAATACTTGTTTTTTTGTTTGTCGTTGAAAACACAATGTTAAAAGAAAATTCTGCATAAATTTATCATGATTCACGCAAACACACACACACACACCACATAATAATTATTTATTTAGATGTGTAAATTCAATGATTACAAATATGCAATTATCAAAATGAAAAAAAAGATGTTGATGGAAAAGTTATGGTTCTGGAGGATGATGATGATGATAGCAATTGAAATTTTAGAAAAACAACATTTGAAAAAAAATATGTTTCTGAATTTCCCAAAACAAGAATATTTAATTTCTTTTGACATTTGAGATGTTTGGATTGTTTTCCTCGTTGTTGTTGTTGTTGTTCAAGTTGTCTAAAAATTATAATTTGTTGGCCCGTAAACAACAGTAACTTTTTTTTCTGATTTTGAACAAAAAACAAAATGATGATGGTTAGTGGTTGTCAACTAAACAAATGAAAAATTATTTTGAAAAATCATTAATTTATTTTTCACAGAATTTTCACAGTGAAAAAAAATATATGGAAGAATCTTTTGACAAAACAAAATCTTGACTAGTTGAGAAAAACATTTTTCGTTTCCTCTGAAATCAATGATGATGATGATGAATTTGTAAGTAGATTATGTGGAAAAAGAAAATAATAATCAAATACAATATTCAATGGATTAAATTCTTTTCGATTTATTTATCGATTTTTTTTGGATCACCAGCATAATAAAATAAGAAAATAAAAATGCAAAACTATAGTGAAAAAAAGGCAAGAATTTTTATTCACATTTTGTTGTTGTTGTTGTTGTTGTTGTGAATCTCTTTTTCTCACTGTTTCAACATAAACACAAAAATAAAACCGATTAAATTCAAATTTAAACTTATTTGAACTGAATTGAACTGAACAAAATCGAAAGACTTTTTGTTGAAATGAAAAGAAGTTTGAAGAAAGAAAGTATGAAATTCATTGCAGAATGATTCATTCACGCAAACAAACATGATCTTAGCAATTTTTATTCTGTTTGTGTGTGCGTGTCTGTGTATGTTACACAGACATATTCTATATCTGAATTTTCATCCAATGTTTATTCGCAATTACCAAGAAAAAAAAAATTGCGAATTGAAGTTTTGGCGCAAACGCAATCCTTTTTTTCGGTATATCAAATTCTCTCTTTTGCAACGAAAAAAAAAACAGTGAAGAAAAGCAATAACAAAAAAAAAAAAGAGGGAAAAAACAATGAGAAATTATATTCTTGTTGTTGTTTATGGGATTCTTTTTCATTTTTAATAAAATCAAAAAACAAAACAAAACAAAAAAAAACCAAATGATTGCAATGGATCTATTATTAAATTACAGGAATTTTTTTTTTAGAAAACTTTTCGATCAGCAACAACAGCAATTCTATTTATTACATACTTCCGATTTTTTTTTCTGGATATTTCCAATAATTGTTGTAATCATATTTACAACAACAAAAATTTTATTTTTAAAATTTTTTGTTTTACAAAAATATCATCATCATATAAATCATATCAACAACATTATCAACAACAGTATATTACATTTATGATTTATTTTCCCATTGAACACACACGTTTTTCTATTGTTGTTTGCTTCGTTTATGATTTATTCAATCGCATCATAATTATAATGGAAAAATAAAAGATGTTTATTTAATGAATCATTTTGGAAAAATATCTTTTTTTTTGTTTATTCGGGTCATCATCATCATCATCATTGTTTTTTTTTTCTTCCCACTTTCTTTTCATTTTCCGGTTGATTTCCACAGAAATATTTTCTTTTTCTTTTTTAACATCTCCATCATCATAATCAAACATTTTTTTTTTTTTTTTTTTTTTTTTTTTTTCCCGGATAAAAAACCCAAATCAAAAACTAAAAATTTTGNTTTTTTTTCGGTTTATTCGGGTCAAACATCATCACTGTTTTTTTTTCTTCCCTCTTTCTTTTCATTTTCCGGTTGATTTCAACAGAAATATTTTCTTTTTCTTTTTCTTTTTAACATCTCCATCATCATAATTAAACATTTTTTTTTGTTTTGGTTATTATCATTTACCCGGATTACAATCACATATCAAAACTGAAACATTATGAATTTCAGTTTTTTCCCATGAGATTCACAATGATTACTATTTTGGTTGGTTGATTTTGGTTAAGGGCTTCTGTTGATGTCATCACCATTATCGTCATCAGTTGGCTTGCATGCTTTGATCATGATGATGATGATGTGGGTGAATTATATTAAATAATAAGATGATGTTCATGGATATGAATAATATTATTCGAACAAAACAAAACAAAACAAAAGTCAGGATATATACAAAAATGTAATTATGAAAATTGCATTGGAAAAAAAGATGGCCAACACAAATGGTATTGTAATTATAAATTTGTAAATTAAAAATTAAAACCAGAGATTTTTGTTTCTTTAAAAAATTTTTATTTTATTATAAAAAAATACAACAAAATTAATAATAATAAAAATCATTTTAAAAACAACAACAACAACAACAACAATCACAAATTGAATGAATTTTGAAAAAAAATTGTATATATAAATATCGAAATGATTATGAATCAGTGTTGTTTTTTTTCCCAGGAAATTCAAACAATTTTCTTCTTCAACAAAAATAAATCAATTTATCACTTAAATCTTTAAAAATAGAATCGATTTTGTTGCTTCATAGTTTGATTCGATTTTTGTTTCTGGTTGTTGAAAAATGAAATTTTTTTCTCTCTTGAAAATTATTATTGTTTTTGGATGAAAACGAGAACAGGATTTCCCGAGAAAACAAAAAATACATTCATCTTATCATCGATTGGTGAGATGTTTGGATGTTTTTTCTTTTGTTGGATTGTTATTCTTCAGTTTGATCACCAATCAGTGGTTTGTTTTATCTTCTTCATCTTCTTCTTCCCAAAAGAAAAATATTACGTGAAATGAATTTAAAAAATTTCGATTCATTGGCTATTAACGATTTGCTGATGTGTGTGTGTGTGTGTGTAAATGGTGATTATCTATCGAGCATCATTGATGATGATGATGATGAAAAAGAGCATCGATTGGGATAAAATGGATGTTGTTAAAAAACCTGAACGAAAGATGCTTTTTTTAAAAAAATACAACACATCAATAAATAAAGTGAAAAACACACACACACCAAGAATTCAATCCAAGTTTCTTTGTTTTGTTTTTTCGATTATACTGAAAAATTTTTTCCACTCGAATAAATTTCATTAAACATCTTTACACACCATCCACAATACGATACCCAACGAAGAGTTTATAAGCAGCGGTTTTCACACATGAAAAACATTATTTAATGTTTTTTGTTTTGTTTTTTGTTATACGAATGATTTTCTTGTTCACCACCATATTTTTTCATCATTGAATCTTTAGTTTTCACTATAGTTTTTCTTTCCAATCGGATGATTTTTTCTTATTATTTGAAAAAAAATATCAACACCATCAACAACAACAGTAATAACAATAAAGGTTTTTTTTCCATGATAAAGGTTCATTGAAAAATAACAATAGTCGAAACGAATAATGAATTGAATTGAATTCATTGAAAAGAAGCGTATCTTTTTTTTTTTGTTCTCCCGAATGTTTTTGTCGTTTTGTTGAAATTTTTATCTTCACTTTCTTCCTGGATTCTATTTATGCCATCCTGTCCATTTCTTTATTACATAAGAAAAGATTGTTAATGATCGAAAACAAACAACAACAACAAAAAAAGCTTATGCCACAATATATTCAGTGAATATAAGGTTAAAGAATCGTTCATTCATCCATATATATTTTTTTGCGATAAAATTGACCAAGAAAAAAAACCCGTAGATGCCAGTGATGTTATCGAAATATTTTCGTTTTTTTTTCTTTCTTAAAAATTGAATCTAACGGTTTTTTTTTGTTTTCTTCCTCTGCGAATTTTATTCACGATGAATAGCGATGGTGAAATGCATTCAAGCATGATTTTTTTGCTGCTAAACCAGGAAATTCATTGAGCAAGCACAATAGAAAAAAAAGAAACCTTTAAATTGATGATGATCATATATATTTGAATGATGATTATATATTGAAGAATGAAAAATTGTTGAAGAAATTCTTATTTTTTATTGATGATGATGATGATGATGATGATGAAAAGAGAAATTTTTAAAAAAATCATTTTTCTTCAATTTTCATTTCATTTCATTAATTTTCTTCAGGGGAAAAAAAATATATTCAACAATTCGCATATTTTTCTATTGCTTTTTTTATGGTGAATTTGTTTTTTTGGGGGGTGGTTTCAAGATGATTTTGTCGATTGAGTTTTATCATTTCTAATGAAAATTTTCATCGATTCGGCAATTGCCTGTATTCGTTCAAGATTAATCGTTGTTGTTGTTGTTGTATATTGTTGTTGCTTAACATCATTATTTAAATCGTTCATTATATCATCTTCACCATTATCAAGTGATGAAAAAAATTTCAATGCATTTTGTAATGTTTGTTTTGATGCACATTCTATATTGTTTTTGTTTTTTTTGCCAAAATTAATTAGAAAAAAAAAGAATAAAAAAAGATTAAATTTTTGTTAATTAAATGATTTTAAGGTCAATTTGTTTTTTGTTCATTATTAGTTTGTGAATCTAGTCTAATTAATTTCCATTGAAAACAAGAAATGTTAAACAAAAGGTTAATTGATAGAGCTAAAAGAATAAATAAAGGCCTATTCTGTGCTATTCTATATAGAAAAAATATATATTCTCTGGTACAGAAAAGATAAGAATTTTCATCTGTTTGTTTTCTTCATCTGTTCTCATCTTATTGTTTGTCTGTTTTTTTTCGGGTTTGCTTACCATAATAAATATAACCATTATGTGCCATTTGTTTAGCTTGTGTTATCAACATTTTTAACAATATTTTTTCATCAATATTAATTATATTATTATTATTATTATTATCCATTATGATTGGTTTATAACCATTTGAATGACCATTTGCCATTGTAGATTTCTGTTGTTTAAATTGTTCAGAATTTATATTCATTATTATTTTATGATGACAATTTTTTGGTTGATTATGATAATTGATACATTTTGTATCATTCATTAATTTCAATGATGATGACGATGATGATGATGATAATTCATTATAATTTGCTATACAATCGGCAACAAACCAATATGCTTGAACATATGGTTCTAAAATTGAACGATATAATGATAATAATTGACAATTTTTTTCAGTTAAACGTATATAAAATTCTTGTGGTAAATGATGATGATTATTATTATTATTATCTTCATTATCATCTATAGATGATGATGATGATAATGAATGATCACTAATACAATCAATAACATCCATAATTTCATCATCATCATCATTATTATCATTATCGATTAAACGATCTTCATCTACTTCTAATATACATTCATTTTGTAATGTTCCTTCCATATTTTTAAACATACTACTACGTCTTCTACGTGTTGATGATGTTAGCCAACGATTTAATCGTCTATATGATACTGGTAAATTTTTTCCTGTTTTTATTATTGTTGATGATGATGATGAATGATGATTATTCGTACCATTTTGATGATGATGATGATTATTTGGATAAAGATGATTGGCAACATCCGACATTGGTAATGTTAAACCAGTTGGTTTGTTTGGATTCAATACAAATATATCATGTTTACAGAATGAATCGATAAATGTTTTTGCTAACATATGATCTAATGATTGACAGCTCTGTGAAATAGGACGAATATAAAAAAAAAAGAAAAAAAACAAAATGTAAATTGAATGAAAATATTCTTTCTTTCTTTCTTTCTTTTTTTGAAAAGAATCTGACAATTTTTTATATAAACAAAATGTCAAAATGTTAATTATACCTTGGTGAATATGAATTCATTCTGTAATAATGAACAAATTGTACGACAACGTTGAAAAAATTCACGTTTATTTATAGAAAGATTTGAAACAAATGTTGATGGATCATAAATGAGTGATGAGATCTCTGTTTGCTGTACAAATGTATGTAATGATATGGCTATATGGAGAAAAAGAAGAAAAACACATGGAAAAAAATCATTGATTGATTGATTGTTTGAATATATATATTTTGTAAAGAGAATTGAAAAACAAAAATCTTTGAAATGAATTTCAACATACCTAAAACTGATTCGAATACAAATAATGATGAACAATAATTTGAATAATGTTGTAAATGTAATAATGATGGTAATTTATTTGATGGTTTTAAATAAATTATCTCTAATCTTGAATCAGATTTATTATCATCATCATCATATACACCATCATTATCATTATTATTACATTGATTCCATGAATTTCTTTGATGATAATTTCGGGAATAATGATTATTATTATTCCATGATGACCATTTAAGACGAACTTTTTCCGTTTGTATTAATTCTTCTTGTCGTAATAATTGTATTGCTTGTCGTACTAATGTTTGTGAATCACCATTAATCGATAGATTTTGTTGTTTATCACGACATATTGTTTGTCTTAACCAATCTAAATCCTGTGTTAATTGTTCAATTGTTGTACCTTTTGATCGATATTTATTCAATAATAAAAATGAAACTAAATGTGTTGACATTAATGATGAATCACGATATGCATCATATAGTACATGTTTGGCTAATGAATCACAACAACGATATCTACGTCGTATTTCTTCATCTAATCCATCATTTTTCTTGTCATCAATATTATTATTATTATTATTATTGTTATTCAACAATTTTATCGCCGACAATGATAAACTATTATTCTTTTTACAATGTGTTATTCGATCAACTATTCGATCAAACGAACAAAAACAGAATGATTTGTAAATAGAAAAAAAAAAGAAAAGTAAAAATAGAAATTTGTTTGAAAGATCAAGATAGATTAATCATCATCATAATATATATTAAAAAATATAAATATTTTTTTTGTAAACTTACGTGATGGTGGACATGCAACACAATCGGCTATTGTAACACCATAATCAATTTTTCTTGGAATTGGATACAATTTATTTTGATCATTATGATTATGATGATTATCAGCCCGATCATTATCATTTGTCATTATCATCGTTGTTTGTTGCTGTTGTTTTATACGTTGTTCATTTTTTAATTGTTGTTGAATTTGTTGTTGTGCCATACATTGATTCATATATTCATTTAGAATAAATGGTTTACCAAAATCAACACGTACTGCACCATAATTTGAACGTAATGTTTTCCAAATAGCCATTATTGTTGTTATAAATGTATCGGATGATTTTCGTTGTTGTTGTTGTTGTTGTTGTTGTGGTATATCCATTTGTTCACGTACAACTAGATTAGTGCCTTCAATGGATTTTTCATATGATATTGATACAGGAACAATGCATACCTGTTGCACTGAACCTTTTTTTTCGGAATCAAGAAAAATAAGAAAAAACATTAATCATCATTTGACGATGAGGAAAACAGAATAATATAACCAACAAAAAAAAAAACCAAACCTACCTTCAGCCAATGCATCCAAAACAATTGATAATAAATGAAGATTTGGCATCAAAACCTTACCAGTTGATGTACGAGAATCTTCAAGAAAAAATTCCATTGAATTTCCTTGTCGAAGATTTTCAATAATATATGATCGTAATATTGCTTTATGTATTGGATCATTTTCATTATCATCATCATCATTATTATTATTATTATTATTATTAACGTTGTTATTATTGTTACCATGATCAGCTTTAACATTATTATTATTTTTTATGCACTTTTTTCTAATAAAAAATGCACCTAAACCACGAATAAGATTATCAAAAAATGGTAAACAACAATGATCATTAATAGCAATTAATGGTGGATTTAGGCCATTCATTGATAATATAAATGTAATCAATATACAATCCAAATATGAACGATGTAATGGTAGATATATAATCGGTATATCAGACTTTTGTTGTTGTTGTTTATTATTATTTTTATTATCAAATAATTTTTGCCGTTGTCGTATTTGTTCAATTTGTGCTTTACTAAATTGTACACTATTAAACATTCTTGATAATAAACGATATAAAATCCAACCGGCAATTCTTAATAATGATGATGATATACATGAACTTAATTCTTCATATAATTCAAATGCTTTATGACGATTTTTTCTAATAAATTGTTGATATTCATTTTGATTTTTTACATCTTGATGACAAATATTTTTTACTTGTTGTTGTTTTGTTAAAGTTTTTATTCGATATTGATCACATGAAACTTGTTCAATTGCTCGGGTAACCGATTCTGATTTGAGAACATTTTTTCGTACATCAGGATAATTATGATTAATTTTTCTTGTTATCACATGCCATGCATAATAAAATGTTAATGATATAATATTTTCATAGCTAAATTTAAAAATTTATAATAAAAAAAAAATTTATAAAAATCAAATTAAATCAAGCAATTTTAATTAATTATAATCTCGATTTTTTTATTTTGGCCAATTTACCTTGTTTGACTGGTTGAATTTGATATTAGATTATCATCATCATTACCATTATTATTATGATTATGATTATTTGATGAATTTGTTTGTTTTAAAATATTTTGTTTGAAAAAATTCTGTACAAAATACAGAATCCATTGTAACCATTCGGAAATCATTATTAACATTGTAATCATTTTTGAAGAATAAATAAAATAAAAAAAAATTAAACAGAATGATCAACTGTGATAATCGATCGATGATAATGAAGATGATTTCGAAGAATGGACAAGAATTTTTTTTTTTTTTTTGAAAAAAAAGGAAAGAATCTCTCACACTCACTCTCATACACACACACTCTCTCTCGCACACAAAGACAAATTTGTCAAAAAAAAAATTATTCAAAGTTTTTTCTTTTTTCGCTTTCGAAGTTGTTGCTGTCGATGTTTATTTGTTCAATGATCAACTGATGAATGATGATGATGATGAAATGACATCAAATGTTTTCAAACATTTTTTTACCAGAAAATTTTTTTTTTCTGTTATTTATTTCTTATCTTTTTTGCATTCATTCATTCATTCATTTATTTATTTATATTTTTTTTTACTTCAAAATGATGAAGATAAAACATATCATCAACAAATTACATGTACACATATAATTATAATATGATGATAATATTCATCTTATTTAGATGATTATATTGTTGTTGTTGTTGATGTTGTATCGATCGATAATTGATCAATAATTGATTTGATTTGAATGACAAATGAACAATCTTTGAACAATTTGCTGAAAAACAAACATGTGCACCAGAAAATAAAAAATCAAGTCATCATTTTGAAATGTTCAAAAAAAGAAAGAAGGGGTGAGAATAAAACGATGATAATTCAATCAATGGATGGATGGATGGATGGATATCTTCAAATGATTGATCCATACAAGAAAAAAAGATTTTCAAAGTTTTAGCATCACTTTGATGAAAGTAATATTTTTTTCTTTCGAGGAGTTTTTTTTCATTTGTTTTTTTTTTGAAAATTTCAGATAATGATGATTGTTATTGTCGTCATTTGCTGTTGTTGTTGTTGTTTGGTAAAAGTGTTCATCATTTATTTTTCCAGGCGAAAGAAAAATGACAACATCGAAGAGACAAAAAATAAAAAACAATTAAATATTTGGCTGGTCTTCACACAGATAAAAATTGTTTGTCGTTTGATTAATTAGCCATAACAATTGTCAATCATCAATATTTTACAATCAGAATAAAACAAATCCAAAATGCTAATCAATTTCAATGAATCTTTGGATGAATCTTTTTTTTTTTTTTTTTTTTTGATTTATTGATCACATCATTTTATCAATTTATTCATTTTTCACCAGAAAAAACAAAACATAAATGTTCCATGAACATGACAAAAAAAACAACAGAAAACATTGAATAGAAAAAAAACAATGATAATGTTCACGTGTGAAAAGAAATCACCAAGAAAATTAACAAGGAAAAAAATTGTATTTTTTTCCAAATATCAATAGTTGGTTGTATCAATCAATGATGGTAAATGATGATCATCATCGAACATATTGATGGCACAAAGACACTTCTGGATAATTTTTTATTTTCACATTTACTTGATGATTGTCATTTGCTAATAATTATTTTTTTTGGCTGTCGATATTTCGATGTAATGGTTGTTGTTGCTAACCGATTCAATGATCAAATGAAACCAGAAATTTTTTTTTTATTTCGCACTATTTTTTTGTTTGAATTTAAATTCGTTATTTTGATTTTTTCACTGTCCGCGGATTGATAACTAAATTGAACAACAAAAAATCATTTTTATATGCTTGATTTTTGAACTTTTAATAATCAAAATAAATATTTTTGCTTGTCTATTTTCCGGTCTAGAATCGAATAAAATAAAAAATTTTGATAAGATTTTCTTTCGTTTTTCAATAAACCAAAACGAAACATTGAATCAAGTTGTAGCAGCAGTAAGGAACAGCAAGGCGAAAAAAATATTGAAAATTTCCAAATAAAATTGATTAAACAAACTTATAATGACATCATTAGCATCATCATCATGGTTTTATCATCAATTAATCAATCAAAGGGATGGTAATTTGAAGAAGAAAATTGTACAAGATTTTTTCGTTGTTGAACTTTGATTTTTTTTCAATTCTTGTTGTTGTTGCTTTCTGGTGAATATCACGCGCACATCACAGAGATATTTTCGATTCTGGATTCTTTTCCTCTGAAAACTACGATGACGATCCAAAACTTGTTGATTTTAAAACTTTTTAAAATAAAAAAAATAAAAGCAAAAAACTTGATTATAATGAGCTTTTTGAGTCGGAGTTTTGTTTTTATATTTCCCACATAAAATTCTTTTAATTACTATATCATTGTGTGTGTGACCTTTCACCGAAATGCCATAAACACACATACATAGACGTAAAAACTCAAATGATATTGGCCTTTTGCTGATGCTGCTACAATAAAAAAAAATGAATATTTTTTCGAGAATTTCTATTTCATTGAGTTAAATGTATTTAGAGTATCTTGTGTGTGTGTCACATGTGTGATACATGATGACCTTCTAAACTTTGGCACGTAGGCCAAATTGAAAAAAAACCAGCATGTCAATATCACACAATGTAGAGAGAGAGAGAGTAAAGAGAGAATCAATAAAAAAATCGAGCAAATCAATAAAATCAATAAGATTTTTGTTATTTTTTTTGGCTCTTCATTTTTGTTTTGTTTTGTTTTGATAATTTAATTTGATAAACGAAAATGGTCAATTTTTTTTTGTTGTTCTCTAAACATCGACATTTATGTTTGTTCAATAACCATAGTGACAAATGAAGATTTTTTTTTTGTGGATTGATTTTATTTTCTGCTTGAAAAAATCATAGATTCTTTGATATTTGATTATCGATTTTCGATGTTGTCATAAGAAATCAATCAATCAATATGATGATAATATTTCTTTCATCAAGTTTGTGGATTTATGGATTTTTTCTGGTTGTCGTTGTTTAGTTACTAGGAAAAACAAATGTACCAAATGATGATGATTAAAAAGCAATCAAAAAAAAAAAAAAAAAAAAAAAAAAAAAAAAGGAAAAAAAAATTTTTTTTTTTTTTTTTTTTTTTTTTTTTTTTTTTTTA